TCATCAATGTGGACATTCTTGTAGGTGCTGTAGTAACTGTTTATGGCCCTGCTGTATTTTTAGGTGAGCATCGAATCGGGTCGGTGTACATTGCGAACAGCGCCGAAGCAGGAGATGTCGCTCATCATGATTCCGACAATGGTGAAAAAACCGTCAGCCAAAGATCTACGTACAAAAGCGTTTTCTTCTACCCAGCCAACAAACTTCACCAGATTCAGCATTCCGAGGTTGGTAAGGGTTATATCACGCTCTTCCAGTTAGAAAAGGTGACAGGGGAAATGAGGCAGTGATTGAAGTTGTGGCATGCTAAACGACCAGTTTTACTCATCGCCATAACTTGCCCTTAGACCCCCCCCCCTTAGGCTGGTGTGGAGTTGTACCACGACCTGAGTTCACCATACAGCCTGTGATGAGTAGGGACTTCTAGCAGTAATGGAACCAGCGGAATCATTTGAAGATCTTGTTACAGTTCTCAGATGTTGCTGAAAGCCCTTCCCAAAGCATTGGGATCTAAGTCTCAGGGAATTCTACAGTTCCAGTGATCCAAAAATGAAGACGATAATTGAGTGATGACTGTAAGAACTTCAGCTTGGACATGAGAGGGTACTACATATCAGCAGATTCTGGTTCCATACCAGCATCGGTGTCGGCTTCGTTTTCCAAAGGGGTCGCCCAATCACAGCCATCACTACAGAAGATGGATGCTGCATCTCACCACAATCCAACACTTCCCGTATGTGTTTTTCTCTTTTTTGTTTTTTTTTCAGTGCATTACAGAACCCTGTTCGAGAGTGAAGAAAAACTGGTGGTTCAAAATGATAGTTCTTTGAAAACATCCGGGAGATCTGTGTGGCGAGCGGCTGCCTCACCTGCTGGACGAGTTGTCTTGCCTGCTGTTCGAGTTGAATGTACAAGAGATGAGAAGGCCTACATTGCTTGGGTGTAGTTTTGCCGCAAAAAAATCCGCACGAGTTTCGCTCCTTCGTTTGGCAATCTATATGCGGCATGAACATCCGCATATCCTCGCATCGCCGCATCATGCACCTGACGTGTGGCAGATCACGATAGTCACGTCATTCTCCCATAGAGTCAGTAGTTGAACAGTTTTCATGCTAAAAATCTCCACAGTGCATTTTCAACTGCTGCTGTTGTTGTGCGCATCTTCTACCATTTATGAATGGGTTCCTCTTTTTATAGTAATCAGCGTCGCGATGGCTGGTCGAACTCTCGCAAACTCCTGTAGGTATTATCCCTACAAACGAGGGAGCTTGTGCAGGCGCGTGAATTGAAGGCTGGGGCAGCTTTCCCCACTAATTGTTGCGAGCTCAGCCTGGCATTATTGGTGTAAAAAGCTGCCGTGGCGTCCCTCACACGTCCTCTCGTTTGATGGGATAATAGGTAGGGATAAAGTCCCGGCTGTGCAGTACGAATTTACTTGGGAGGTTGAGTCAGCGCGCTGAGCTACCATGTTGAGTGAGTTGGTTCTTGCTTCGTACGTCACCCCGCTTGCAATGCCGTTTCGTGGGAGGGGGGGGGGGTGCTGGATCACTAATTTTGACTGTTTGGTCATGGAAAGGAACATACTCTGAAGTTCCGAAGGGCTCAGAAGCGCACTCGATTCTAGTCTTATGGCCTACCATCGTCCCTTTCTCATCATTGTGCACCTCTTCTTCATCGTATCTGAAGGAGGGACATAGCAATGGGCGGAGAATTGGAACGACTGGATCTCCTTATATGATAAAATGTTGGGGGTCAGAGATCAGCATGGACTGTGCCTTGGGAATGGTAGCGAAAAGGAGTATATCGAAATCGTAGCTGAGCGATTTCGACCGCGAGGAAAATTTCTCTAATGAGCCATCCTCTGCATTCAGTCGTTACCACTCAAATCACTCAGGCATGTCAACGACGCTTTTGACGCTGCGCCAGCATCTTTTCCACCACTCACTGTGTCGCAGATCGATGATGAACAGGCTGACGGCTCGCATCCCGCCAGAAACCATGCCTGTTGACAGCCCCCCCCCACTGACTTTGGTGGAAACGGCTGCATATTTCCAGTACCTAAGACTTGTTCAAACTACTAGCATTTTCACCCACGGCTTTTTCCTACCAGTTTAAGATGCGTTCATTTTAAGAACAGTGCGATCATTCGAAATCGAGGATGCTTCTACCTGTCTGCAGCGCTGGCGTCTATGCCAACCGAAACAGTGGTCACACCGCATCTTGCGGACTATCTAGAACAGGTAAGTAAGCAAGAAGAATTTGATCACATCGTAAACAACCATTGACTACATTGAACTTTTGCCGCTTAGCGACCGTGCGTTTTTTGCGGCTGTCTATGGGTGATCTGGTCGTGGAAAGTTTTCCATTGTTCAACCCTCCGATCTAGGTATTGGAGCCGCTTCCGATTTCATCAGGAGCCACGGTTACTTCAGTACCGTCAGGGGGAGAACAGCAAGAAGGTGTAGCACACATTGTCGGCATGGATACCAGTGCGCTACCTATTGACGTCTTGTTCTTCCTCACCGTTCAGAGCAGTACCATCCGATTTGACGGCCAACAACAGGTGAGTTTTTGTTTTGAAAGCACATTTGACGCTGTTGGCTGGTTAGAGCCGGACCCACCGGTGTCCCTTTCTTCTGCATACCTCCCCGGAAATAACAGCACACCGGTGAGAATCAAGCAGTTCTAGGTCTGACTCCACCCACTGGGAAAGCGTGGATAATGCTTCGATATGTGAAAGAAGTGAAATTAATTACAAAATTTTCTAGAGAAGCTCTGCTGCGGATTGCCTTCTGAAACTGCCATGTCTATCATTGATGGCATCCACTAGGCGTACAGTGGAAGACACCTATGTGGGCGGCATAGATGTATCGGCGACACTGAGCGCGTTCTCATTGAGTATTTACAGCCCTCATCAGGTGAGAAAGGAAAATAAATCATGATTCTCATTTTTATTCTACAGTCATAATATCTCACGGAAAGTATTTGCGGTATCGATATCTGGGCTCCTAGGACCTTCCAGGCAGGACATGTCCTACCGTTGGGGAAAATTTTTTTTGTAAAATACGACAACGCACTATAACTTATATTTATTTTATTTAATAAAACAAATAAAAATTTTCCCTCACTTCTAAATTCCTCTCTGATACGGCCACCCTTCCCCATTTCCCCATTCTACCTACCATCTCCCTACCATCCTTTCATTTTTACAGTTCTATCATAAATTTTTTTCTTTAATAAAAAAAAACTACCATCGAGCGTCAGGGGAGGGGTGATCGAAATGGGGGACGAGCGTGGCATGGGGTTTATTGTGCTCTTGAACCGTGAGAAATCGAAGGAGTTCAACAGCCGGAAAGACTTTTCTTCAAGGCAATCTACTTACGGGCTGGGAGTTCCCAAAACACGGTGTGCCCTGTTTCAGGGTCTGAAGCTCAGAAGATATAAGGTTGTGATGAGTTTCTAACACAGTGACACAGGTTACTTTTTTTCCATTTGAATTCTCACTAGTGAAGTGCTTCAGCAATCTACGGCTCATGATGCATTGTCACTTACCCTTGACCACTTATCGTTCGTGATTTCTCGAAGCAAGAATTCGTCTGTGGAAGCCGATAATCGAGTAAAGGTAATAGTAATTATGGAATTTTTTATGTTTTCTGGGCTTTTTTGTTTGAGCTTTTGGTCATAAATATGGTTTTTACTACTTCTACAGTACTCATCGCTGCGGATGCTGGGCGTGTCGGGAGGGGGAGGGGGATCGAGTTTGCCAGAACCTCATTCTGTTCTCCGTCAGTCGTTGAAGCATTCAAGCGACCACAGTCGGAAAGAAGCTGGCGCTACACCAAATTTATCCACGCCATCTGACACGTCCCAGCATCCACAGTGAGCAAAACTGTACGATTGTTGTAGAATCACGGACTGGAGGACATCGCACCGACCAGGGGTGTTGGTCATCAGGTCGATTTTCGCCATATATCGCACGCGGCTCCTCTTCGTTGCGGGTTTTGAAGGACACGGGGGGCAAGATAAAGTGTTGAACTCTTTGCATGAACCGTACACTTACAAAATTCTTCCCAGCGGCATGAACTGCCCCGATTGTAATGTTTGGTTTTCAGTTCGTTCTCACGTCAAACATTGGTGCAGCAAATTTCAATTACGACATGCGACGTTTGAGTGAGCTTATGGCGTTTCCGAAACCGTGGTATCGTGCGGCAATCGCTCGTCGAGTGTTCTTCGGTGATCAGGCAGCTGCACACGACACAACGAGTCACCCACCGAGCACTATCGCCAGTCATCCACTAGTGGCTGCCAGGTAGTTCTAATGAGGATTACGGTAGCAAGTCTGCCGTTTTCGGACTAGATATTGTGAATGGACTGAGTAATGATTCTCTTCTTTTACTGTTAAACCAGTCGGATCGCCCGGCTGACGCCGAGCTCTCCTCCTTCTTTTCAGCTCGGCTTCGCCGAGCTGGCCTGGCTTCGCCAGGCGCACGGAAAGGAATTTGTTAATTGCCTGAGCTGCTCATATTGCGCGCTAGTGGTCGAATCATAATAGACAGAGTAACCTAGCGAAATCTGTACCCCTCATATTTGCAAAGGCCTGCTGGTTTCGGCCATAACGCCCATTCTATACGTAGATCTTAGAAGTATATAGGAAGTACAGAATATCAATATGTGTTGCACAGTAGATGAACAAATTCCGTTTTTATTACCTGCATCACAACACCAACGATGGGCGATTAACTTGTCATTAACATGCAATCCTGCCAAGGTT